GATTCGGTATGAGACAACGTTCAGGGTAGAATTTTCTATGTTCTCGGTCAGTCCACCATCTCTCAAGATATCCAATAAGGCAATCATTCATTCATTCACTTAACCAATCAATTTTTTATTTACCTTTAATTTTTAGTTTCATAATTTAATTGTAAATCAACGCAAGATCAACAATACATGTATCAAGAAAACACAACTTAATAATTTTACCAATTTCAATATATTATCATGCATTTAAAGTTGTAAAATAAAACAATCAATTAAACAAGGCAACAATAATAAATAACCAGTTCTGACTCTATTAGTAACCTGTAATTAATTCTCGAAACTTTCTAAATTTTGCAAAATACTGTATTATTAATAATTAGACTTCAATTCCATAACAGGGAATAAGGTGATGGATTCTTACCTGAATTGGTGTTCGAAATACTGAACTTTAAGCTGCGTCTACTGGCAGTTCCCAAGTTTCTCGAATTTTCCTACGGAGGTTCATATTTCACGTACCTAAAAATACTCTAATAAAAATTCAAAATCGGTGTTAAAAACCTTTTATGGCCAATTTCAGAATTTCGGCACAGTGGCACCGCCGTGCTCAAGCGACGGCACCGCTATCCGCAGCAGTAGTTTGCCCTGAACTAGCCTTTTTAGGCGAGTTTTGGCTAGTTTCAACTGATTTTATAGTCATCCCTGCGAGAAAACACATTAGAGGGCTTTGGTTGGCTGAAAAAAGTTGAAAAACAAAAACTTACTGGCGGTAGAATTTTTTGGTGCGACGGCTCCGCTGGCTCACCTTCACAGCTGGGCGTATTTCTTCAGTCAACCTGTAGAAAATAGAATGGTGAACACATTGGTGGAAAAATCGCACGAAACGGGAATCAGAAAGGAGCTCATCAGAGGCGATTTTTAGTTTTGCCTGCAGCGGCGCCACCGGGCTTTACCCGCGGTTTCTGACTCATACGCCATTCCTTTTGCTCTGATTTAGCGATGAGGGTGTTCGAAATCAAATTCCAAGCGGATAAAAGAATTTTTACCTTTTTTGGCAGTCGGAGGTGGCCCTAGCGCAGCGGGGGGTGGCGGTCAGCTCCCTTCTCCGACGACTGGTTCTTCTTTTCCGACGGAGGGCTGACAACTAAGGTTGGGTTTGGTGTGATGTGAGATATTTATATCCGACTCCCTTAAATCTAAGCCATTCATCGCATTTAATCTCGATTGTTCGATCGCATTTAAAGAGAAAATGAATATGGACCATTTATCGCGATTTGATCTTGACCGTATAATCGTATTTAAAGGGAGAACTAAATGGATCGTTCATCATGTTTAATCACGACCGTCCGTTCGCGCCTGAGGAGGGAACGGATCTGGACCGTCCACGCGCACGGGAATGCATTCGGGTCGTCTGATTACGGGCACGCGGATTGCCAACGTGGTCTCCCGCATAATACGGAGTTAGTGTGCCTTCCCATACGGCGCACTCTAGTTCGTCGGAGCTGCTGACTGGGTGGTCCTACGTAACATATTTTTCCTTAATTATGTTTTGATTTATAGTTCCGATTTTTTTTTCAAAAATACTTTCCGAACCCAAATTTTTACTTATTTTTTCTAAAATTATTTTTAATTTCATCCTGCACATATTGTTTTTCTAATTTTATATTAATAAAAATTTATTAATTGTAATGCCCTTTAAATATCTTTCTAAAACCAAAAAAGACATAATAAATAATTAACACCTTTTTATGGAAAAAAAATTTAATTAAAACTCAATTATGGTATAAAAAGGGAATCAGTTTTTAGTTATTAATTTGTATAGTTTGAATATATATGTATGTATCTATGTAAATTTTCCTCGAAATAAAGACACCAAGTCCAGCTTCCTTGCGAGAGACTCTTACTTCGTACATGTCTGTCTATTACGGATATCGACATATTGTAGGGTAGCTAGAGTAGAAAATTATAGTTAATGACAAAATTTTCTTTAAAGGGACCTAACTACATGTATATATATATAGATGTACATATTTGTATACATGGGTGCTAGCTGTTAATTTATTATGGATCAAATTAAATATATTAATTTGGATCAGAATATTACTTCATTTAAAAATTTCTTAAATAATCATGTTTTCGCTTCTTAATTAATATCAACTGAGCTAATTAACCCTTAATTAATTGGGATCTCAAGTCTTGTTCTTGACTTCCATACGTAGTAATAAAATTTGGTGGCTAAATATTTTTAGAAACTCAAATTGATTGCAAATAATATAATAACTTGGTTTACATCTTTATGCTAATTTGTATCCACTTAAAAGGATGTTAATTTATGTGAATCACGAGTTATATTATAATAAATTTTTGAACTTGAATTCATACAAATAAGAAAAAATTTGAAATCCAGCCTCAAAAGAGGTGGTTAAATTGATGGAAGCAGAGAAAAGGTGAAGACTGGGGAGTGTATATTTTGTAGGATTTTAAAGAATGAAAGGGATCCTTGAGCTTCTTTAGCATCTAATCAAATCTTGGGTTTTGCTTAGAGGGAGGGAGAAGGAGATTGTGTGAGATAACAATATTAAAGGGAATAAGATGACCGAGTTTTTCTTTAACGGGGCTTAAACAAGTGAAGGGAAGCCGAGAGAAGGATTCGACATTCATAATGTCATTTTTCTTTTCGTTCAAAGGAGGATGCGGTCTTTATCTATGGCAAGTGAGAGATGAGTGAATGGGAAGGATAAGAAGAAGAAGAAAAAGAACAAAAAGAAGATAATAACCATGACGATGAGGATGGTTTTGAAGTTAATGTTTTTTTTTTTTTTAAATTTGTGAATCGTTATGAATCATTTTAAATATAATTTTTTAATATATATTAAATATTACGTAATATTTAATCTGATATAACGTTCAATTTATATATAAATTAATAAAAAAATATTATATATTATTAAAAATTATATTATGTCACCTAATATATGGTGGTAAAAAAAATATTAAATTAAATATATTTTTTAAAAAAATATAAGAACCAAATAGACTGAAATTGAATTTGAATAAACATTAATAATATACAAAGCAAATCATTATTTGTCTTTTATACAACTTAATGAACTTCACTTCCTTTTTCGCTTTTATTTATTTCCTTACTTTGCAATATTTTGCTCAAATTTTACTTTTTACACTAATTCAAGCCCAAACTTCCATGAAATTATATGCCTGCATGCATGGCAACCAAAATCCACGCATGCACTCCATAAGTATGACGCGCACATACATATATTGTGTATATATGTATACATACACATACTGATAAAAGTTAGAACCAGTTATAAGAATAAATATTCTTTCTACTTTAACAACATGTATACATACTGATTAATCTTTTTACTAATAGATTTATTAAGTGTATAAATAATTTTTGAATTACTAATTAAAAGAAAAACCAAAAAGGAGAACCATTCGACGACTACTCAAGAATTTGCCAAAGGTGGTTTGAAAATTCAAATTTCTAATTACATAGCTTTGTTTTCTTGCACTTAATTGAAACAAAAAAAATATGTACACAGACGATATTCCTTAATGTAATTAATAACCCAATGAGATGGGAGTGGTGGGGTGTAATTAATTTTGACTTTCAAAATCAAATTGAAAAATATCAAGTAATGATTAGAGAAAATCTAATTCGATTATATATAGAATTAAATGACGGAGAAACACATTGGGGATCATGATCCTCCGTTGAATACATGGGAGACAAACACTTCGCCACTGTTTATGTTATACATTAAATCGTTGGACCACCCTCTTTTTCTTTTTTTTTTTACTTACTTTTGACGAAAATATTATAATATATTTTTATATTTTATATACAAAGCCTGCCAATATGGGTCTTTTGAGAACCAATAGCAGAGCGAGTACGGACAAGTTCAACAGTCGTCTAGTCCACGTGGACGCCTCATGTCTCTTTACAAGTCCCAATCTGGGCCCCACCACAACCCCCCAACCGAATAGCATCTCGTCACGTGAATGACGACTTAGGCCATGTGACCCCTCTGCCCCCTGTCTTCCTCTCTCTCTCTCTCTCTCTCTCTCTCTCTCTCGCGTTCAAACGGTGCCGTTTCATTACCACACACAAACCCACAAATCCGCTGCCGTTTCGTGGACGAGCGTTTCTAGTATGTCCTTCTCTATCTCTGCCACGATTCCTTCGCCTTCTTCCTCAAACGCCACCGGGCCTTGCAGTTGTAGTGAGTGGTTTCGCGTCAAATCTCTGTCAATCAAAGCGTCAATGTCTTCGAGGACGCGACAATCCGCACATGGGAAGCTTCGAATCCTTGCACACAACATGTCGATGAGCTCTGACCCGATGTAGCAGTCACGTCGATCCACCGGGTTGGCCCATGGTTTTAGGTTCATGTAAGGCTTCAAGATCTCCACAAGAATCTCGTCCACTAAATGGAACAGTAACTTTCGGTTACAACGAAGACTCAACTGGGTTTTACCAGTGATCGCCAAGTGTTCGAGGTAATGAAAGATGGAGGGATCAAGAGGGTGGGAAGGAGAGAACAATCTGGCGAATGAGACGGGAGTATCTTTTCCCACACCTATTCGTCGTATTATTCTGGTTATGTAATCATGCTCTGCTCCGTGTGCGGCGGTCTTGGTGGTGGTATTAGGCGGGGAAATACTGATAGGGGTAGCGTAAAATCTGTCATGGCTGTTGTTATCTGGGACAATGAGCAGGCGCCTTGCTTCTTGTTTGTACGTTTGGCTCGCACTACTAGATAACTGTGAGGTCCGTTTCGATGCTTGAGCCTCCGTTACCTATAACGCATCCATAAATTTGATGTAATTAAATTCCTTGACCATGATCCATTCTTGAAACGAGCAAGTTGAAGAGTTAAAAAAGAAAATAAAATGGAGGAAAGTTAAAAATTACATTACAAAAATTTGGTACCTGTTTCTGAACTAGCTTTGTGGCAGGAGGAGAGGGATCTTTTTTGACAGGAAGAAGAGATATGGGGAGGGTGATGTTGAGGAGATCATTTGAGAATGGGGTTTTCCTGGATTTCTTGTCGGGAATAATAATGTTAGGTTTGTTGGGAGTTGAAGGACGAACAAAGGGCTCTTCCTGCTTGTTTCGGACAATGTCTGTTGTTGGTAGAGGCTTTGCCAACCTTGAACCGAACCTTTCACTGTCTCCTTTCTTGCATTTCTTGATGGGTCTTTGCTGTTTTTTTTGTTGTTGATGCTCTTCTTGCACCACCGGTAGTACTAATTTAGCCCTTGTCGAAATCTTCACTGGCTCCGGCTGCGTACTCGCCTGCTGTAATGATGATGGTGGATGAATTACTTGTGGTTTTGGCTGATGAAAAGTTTGCTCTTTTATTGATGATGATGACGACGATGATGATGTGGTGTTGTTTGTTTGTTTGGTTTTGGACTCCAAAAATCTGAGTCTCGGTGAGCAAGAAGGTGCTGATTTGGCGGGGCTGGTGTCATGATGAGCCACATCAAGTACTCTGCTTGAAAACCTGGAGCTTTTCTTGGATTTTAATTGAGCGACAAGCTCTTGATGATCTCTGTTTTTGAGTGTGTTGGTTATGTCCATGCCAACTTTTCTGCTTACATTTTCTTTGACCTGCTTCACTATCTGCCTCGCATATTCTCTGGGGCTCCTGTTTTCATCTTCTTGCTTCAAGTCTTTCCTTCTCAAGGACGAGAATCGGGAGAACTCCAGCTCTTGATCACTCCCACACATGTTCTCTTTATTGAGTTGCAGAGAAAGACGATGTTCCACGTCTGATCTCCTAGCTGAAGATATTCTAGGTGTCTCAGGCAAAGAACGCGTGCCTATAATATCACCATCGATAGAGTTTCTGTGCCTGGTTATTTGCTTGCTATGTAGAGTTTGTCTGGCCCGTGAATGATTATTACAGTGGAGTATTGCATAAGGTTTTTGAAGATTTGGTGTCCCTAAATTTGAAGAAGAAGGAGATAGTGAAGGGTTATTATCTGGAAGAAGATCAAGACCCATGAGTCTTGCCAGCAAGTTTGGAGTCTTGCTTCCTCCTGGAGAACAGCTTATGATATCTGAGGAAAATTCATTGTATGAAGCTGATGATCTGGTATCTCCTTCTCTAATTGTTTTGATTTGAATACCCATCTGGATTTTTTAAAAAAGGAATCAACTTTTAGCTGTTTAACGTATCATTATAATCATGATTGCTCACTTTTCCAAACAAATTAAGAAAAACTCTTAACGAACACTACAAATATGAACTTGAAAAAAAAAAGGGATAAAACGGTAATTAACTTACTGGGATATTCAAACTCTCTTCTTCCTTGTTGGCTGATGATAATGAAGCCTCTTCAGATAGTTCCAAGCTGTTTCTTGGTGCTTCTACACCTGCATTACACAACACCCACATCTATCTTTTATTTCAATAAATACACAAGTTAAACATTTATTTATCAGAGAGGAGAAGAGATTACCTTTGAGTGAAATGGGTTGTTCTTCTTGATCATGAAGAGGAAGCTGGGGAGAGGTGGGTTTCAATGGAGGAGGAGGAGAAGAAGGTTGGTGATGGTGGTGTAAAGGGAACTGGTAGTGATGAAAATCAAAGAAGTGAAACACAGCACTCATGCAACCAGAAGCTGTAGTAGCTGTTGTACTACTACAGCTTGAAGTACTGTAACCAGTAGTACTGCCTTTAACAGTGTGTTTATAACCTCCATTGCCACCTCTCTTGGAGCTGGAGGAGGATCTGTTACCACCACCCCAGTACCAGTCTCTACCCATTATATCAACTTAACGAAACAGTACGTAAATTAAAACCAAGCTCTTCTCTCTGCTATTCCAAACTTTTTTTTCTACGGAGGCAAGGAAGATTTTCTTCAAGATAAGCTTCTTCAACTATGAGATTCTTGATAACGACAGAAGCTTATAGCGCAGAAAGAGAGAGAGAGAGAGAGAGAGAAGCTGAAAAGCTTGTAGGAGAGATTCACCACAAGATAGAGAGAAAAAGCTCGTAAAGAAGAAAGGTGATAATGGTGGATTGAACAATGGAGAGAGGTGGATTTATGAAAGCATGATAATATATCAGAGATATTAATTAGTTTTTTTTTTTTGGGTGAAGGGAGAGGAATTTAAGTACAACAAAAGGTTGTTTTGTGGGTTTTGGTGTTATATGTATAGTTTCCCTTTTACATGTCTCTGTCTCTGTGTTTTTTATCTTTTATTTTTTTATATCTTGGCCTGGTGTATTATTATTACCCAAGCGTCATATGTGTATATATATATATATATATATATCTGCTTATCTCTGGGTTAATTTTTTAATTTTTAATCTGATATCTTTTCTTACTGCAGTCTACAGACACTCACTCCCAAGTTTTACCAGAGCAGGCAAAGACCATATCCTCCACTTTGGCGTTGGGAATTGAATGAGTAATGAATATGAAATTTTAATTTATTAAAAAATGGAGCAAATTACAAAAGGATGACGATATATATTACCCATCTGAGAGTTGCTCGATTCACAATGTGATTCCCACACCTCCTGGATTCTAAATGTATTAAAAAAATTTGAATAGAAAAGAAAAAGAAAAGCAAAATTAAAAATGGTATTTTACTGGGGATCTGCATTCATCACCCTCCTGTGCATGAAGTCTTTAATCTTGTAACATGCTTCATCCTCACCTCTGTATATCTATAGATTATTCTGTATATGATATATATATATATAGTAATTGTTGCATTAATTCAAACTTCTCTAATGGCATGAATACTTTAGTTTTCTTTTTTTTTTTTTTTGAATACTTTTAAAGACTTAGACCTTCATATCCTTTATATATTTGAATTTTATTCTATAGTCTTATCAACAAAAATCAAATTCAAGAGGGATTAGGATAAGTAAAGTAATTATTTGCTAATTGGACTAATTGCTGATGGTAATTTAAACTTTTTTCTTTTTCATAATATATATCTTGACTTTAGTTAAGTTCACGATTTTAACATAATGAAGTTTGGTTGTTTCTACAAATGTTAATAGAGATTTGCATAGTATATATTTCACTAACTTGTGCAAACATAACTTAGTCTCCCTTTTCTGCATTTGTCAAAAATATGATATATATATATATTATACAATTTACTTCTTTTATATTTATTTTTCTTTTCATTTTCCATTACCCTTTGCTCCTTTCCACTCAATATTGAAGGAGACACTGGATATATTTTCAATTTGAATCTTTAAATTTAAACGTTCTTTTCAAATACGAGTTTAGAAATAACTTACTAGTATGATTTTAGTTTATACAATTAAAACTAAGAAACTATAATTTTTTTCACAAATTATTTAATCTCGACAATAATGACATTTTCTTTTTCATATAAAATATAAGTTCACGACCACACAGAAACAAAACCCAGAAAAAAAAGCCTATACTTTCAATTATTTATTTAACAACTTACACTTTTAGATTATAATTCTTCACCCAACGTTCTTTAACTTGATAAATTTTTCGGTTAATCTGGATTCCATCTGCAGCAAATTACAGTGTATAATTTAATGTAAGTTCCAATTTTAGACCATGCATAAATTGTAGCAGGGAGTTGATCACTAACTATTGCTGCATGCACTGAACTATATACATAGAAGAAAGTAAATGCTTCTGCAACCCTAGCTGGTGAAATGGAGAAGTAATCAATTACAATTAATACTGGGAAGCTCTTCTGTAAATTGTAAATTTATTATATGCTCATATTCACCATGACATGGTTGATTAGAACTACTTTGGTCCGCCTCAAATTTTGAATCACACTAAATATATTTTTCAAAATATTTTACTTTTTAGTATTCTTTCTTTACATATATATATGTAATAAAACTATATTTCCTATCTTACTGTTAGACCCAATTTATAATTTTCAATCCTGAAAAATGAAATTTTAGTTTGTAATTTGAATGTGGATTCAACAAACAAATAAGAAGCAAAATTATATCACATGTTGAAGACGAATAGAATATCTTTTCCCCAAATTATTAGGAAGCCATTAAATGTTGTGGAGAAACGTAATTTTCATAGCTACCTGGGGTGGGGGACCCTAATCAGGAAGGGCAGGGCTTATGGAAATGCAGAGGACAAAAAATTTACAGTCTTGAGATCCTATCCACTTAACTACTACAAATACTAATAAAATCCCAATTGACTGAGATTTGGGTTTGTCCTTCCTTGGGCCTAGTATGACACACTCCATCAAAGGGACCACTCTGCATCCATATATGCATGTATATACGCACACACACAGGTATCACATATATATATGTGTATAAACCTCGAGTATTATTGTTGCAAGTGGGTTCAAATTAAGTTGGAAGTCTTACAGTGATGATATGTTGTTAGGTCTGAATGTATATGCGTTATGCACATCATTCCAAGTGAGGATTTGGGAAGAAAACAAACAAAAATAAAATGTGGTCCTTGAATGATGGGAATAGGGCATGATGATGTCCGCTGTGTACTGGACCTATCTCATGTGGATGAGGCCAGATACAAACTTGGCATTGTTATTTTAAATGGAAACGTGACATGTCGATTATCAAATGTGTAATGCTATTATTTTTAGGGTTACCCATATGAATTATTTCATCCATATATTGTCCTTATACTAATAATAATAACTACACACTCATGTGATATCAGAATTAAGATTCATGATATGATGACTTGTTTCCTTAAAAATAAATAAATAAACAAATAAAAAAGATATGATTACTTGTTTCTTAAAAAACAAAATGATATAATGATTTGTGATAGTTTTTGTTGGGTACCCATATGGATTATTAATTTGATTTATATGATGATGTATAGAAAAGTTAAAAGTCAAGATATGACAAACTTGTGTTTACAGCAAGAGGTGGTAAAAATATTTTTTTTTTTTAAAAAATAATAATAATTGAAGGGTTGAGATTTAATTTTAAAAGAACCCAAGTGGGAAAATCAATAAATAAATAAAACATCATTAAGACACTATAATTAGTGACTGTATTTTTTTACATCTGTGGCAAGAAATAGTCTTAGTGTTAGCTTCGTTCTATAAAATATAAAGTATTTTACGAAAGCTGTAATAAGCATGAGGTACATCATCAGGCCTGTTCGTTGAATGTCGGCATTCAAGACTGACGAATAGATGGTGGGGTGAGGAAATTGGAGGAGACTAAAATGTGGGTAAATGTGATATTGGCTTGTTTTAAGCTGATCTGACCGTGAACCCTAGTTTTTATTACAAGCAGAGAGTATAGATTTGGCTTATCGATGGTTTATAAAACGTACCTGTTGCTGGACCCAATCTCTTTATTACTTCAACTGCAGATCCTATTCCGCCTAAGCAGGTGAGTGATTCAATACTAAATCAGTCCCCTGCACCCACTGCGCATTTAATATTTGTACAATTTCCTCATAACCATTCTCTCTCTCTCTCTCTCTCTGTCTCTCTATATATATATATATATATTAAATCTCTCTTATTTACTTCATGTACGATTTCCCAGCTTCGAGGTTCGTCGGTGGTGTATCACTGCCTCAATCCTTCTGATTTCATTAACTTGATCACCCGTTTGAACTGTTGGTTTTCCTTTTCAAACTCTTGATAATTGATGTCAAAATGTAGACCCAAAAAGAAAGGGACAAATTTGTCGTAATGTGAAGATTTTGTTAAGTTAGAACATCACTATTGCTAAAGATAAAATCCCAATTTCCTAAATTTGAACTGCTTTTTCTATCCGTAAGTTATTGAGAAAAAATACATTCCATTGTAATGTTACTTTATACGTTTTCAGAGACTTACCAAGTTTAGGTAACAATAATGGTTTGGACTTTGAAATTGACGCATTCAAAATTTTGAAATTTGAACAGTGAGAATAATAAAGTGGCACCACAAACTAAAACATCATGACACGATATAAAGAAGAATTAGACAATCAATTTTTTCACGGTACAATCAAAATTTGTTGGAAAAATTAAACAGAAACAGACATGGATAACATACCAGCTACAGTCACCCACTCGTACTGCTATTAGGTCATCTTGCACAGTGAGTTCCCTGTTTACAAGGTCAAGACTTCGCACTATCCAGAATTTCCCAATCATATGCAAAGCACTTAAAATTCCAATCATAACTTCTGGACTGGCAAGTCAGTTTTGAAAAGCCATGTTCAATTGTTCGGCATCTCAGTTTCTCAAAAATGCAAATGAAAGAAATGCGTAATTATAGAGGAGAGTGAAACTAGATAATGGGCGAACAACTAGTAAGACATGAAAATGAAAACGTTACACATCTGATATTGCAAGGTAGGGCTTTATGCTCCCAGAGAAAGTGAGTAGAATGTATTTCTGAATCTTGTAACAATAATCCAAAAACCCAAATAGTGCTAAAAGCACCGTAACTTTTAGGATCATAATAACCCTCTTTACATTCTAGAAAAGCTTAAATTTCAATAGCTGCCATAGAAACTTTCAAGTAGTAAAATTACCAAAAATATATGCCAGCGCATTGGTTAAATCTGAATTAGCACCAAAATATCTTACCTCAAACAAGAATAGAAACCAAGGACAGGTTAACTAACCATAAGCCTTGCACATTGAATCCACCATCAGTGCGTCTATAGAGAGTTTCTACTAAATTCAAAATGTACATAACTTTTAATACAAACTAGCAGTTCCTAAAAGAATACGACTTCCCTTGAACCATGTCTGGTTTGAAAGATAATATTAGCGACAGACAAGTTCAAGGAAGCAAGGGAGGGAGCACTTTTCATACGAAACATCTATAGGCAATTGAAGGAATACAGGAAAAAAGATCACAAACCAAGTAACTGGTTAAAAATGGAAGAAAGAATATACCCTGTTATTGCCAATTTTGTTGCCACAACTGTTCAGTATAGAAAAAGAGTTTCTCAAGTGATACTTCTAATAAGTTCTACCATCCACATCAAACCCAGCTCCAGTCCAACCAGGTCCTGCTGGACCTCTACCCTTGGGCACAGCCCCAATTCCCCTACCTCTTCCTTGGTTATGACCTCTCTTCTTTCTTGCTTCTCCCTCACCTATTAGCTGTCTTTCGTGTCCGTTCATTACTGGGATATTTCCATCATTTCCTTGAGTAGGTATATTTTCTGTTGTTCTGGAACCAGGTTCTGTTTTGTGTTGCATTGCAGAAGTATCTATAGTCGTGCTAATCTGTGCAGGCAGGATCAAACATGAATTTACTATAATGTCATGCATTGTTTAGGCTTGTGCACATGTGAATAACTATACCATGTTAGGGAGAAAGATGCTAATATATCAGTTCACTGCATCAAAGGAGTTCTAGAAACTCCAAAACTGCAGCTACTTCCACACCCAAAGAATATAGCAGCTTGAAGATATCAGGATATTGACATACACATCACAGGCGTTTATGTTTGTGACTTCAGCTAAACCATAAAGGAACTTAATGAGTATGCAAAGTCCTCCTCAATTATGAACTTGGTGTGTGTTTGGTTGGAACTTGAAAGAAACCAGGCTAACAACTTAACAAGAAAAAATTCAGTCAATCTCGTCTGTCCTTCAGTAAGTTGTTTCACAGGTTAGCTGCAGTCACAGGTTAGCTGCAGTCACCAACATAAACTCCTCTTTAGCTGAATACATTTATCAATATGCCATATGGTTGAATTCAGTATAGCAGACCCAATGTTCAAAGCCAAAATCAAACGCATTCAACCATTAAGCCAGATCAATTTATAATCAACCTGGGAACAAGTAGTCTACCTACTTGGAAGAGATTGTGTTAAAATCATGGATGAACTCCAGCATTTTCTTACATTGCACTCATTTAACTTGTGTCAAATCAGGGGAAGTTTGGCAAAACTTATTATTATTATTCTTATTTTTTTTTTATCATGAGTCTATAAGCCATTTAATAGCATTTTAGACTCTGTTACATGTTTGATAAGTAACAAAGGGCTCATAAGTTGAACAACTTATATTATAAGCTCTTGAAAAAAAGTTTCAGAAAGTTGTGGATAGTTTTTATTTTAGAGAATTTATAACCTCTCAAAAACATAATAATGTTGATGAAGTAAAAGACAAAATTACTCTTACAATTTCAAAATTTTATCCCTATACAATCTATGGTATTCATCTTTTCAACGGTGTTTCTTTCAAAATTTGGATAGAAGTGATAGCTATATTCTGTCAAAGACGTGAATAAATTAATGTAACTTATAAGTTCGTGTTACTCAAGCAATTCAATAACTTATTTCCAAAAAATCTGTAATAATTTGTATGCTCTTGAAGAACTTAAGCTTTATAGTTTAGAGCTCCTGCATTTTAAGGTGAACTAAACACATAATCATTCATCTTTTAATTATACTTGCAGCATATTGTCAGGAGTCTTTGACATGTATTTCAGTAATGTGGCAGGTAGAAAAGGGTTGAAAGGTTTAGAGTAGATGATCTAGAAGGAATAAAAAAGAAAAGAAGAGAGTTATTCCAGAAAAAAAGAGAGAAGAGAAGAGAGAAGAAATAGAGAGTAGAGAAGAATAGGAGAAAGAAATCCGGTAATTTCACAAGGAATTGCTGAATAACAATAGATTTGATTCTGAATATTTTCATCCTACTGTCCCATCTAAGACTCAGGATAAGGAAAATGGGCTTAAGGGCAAAATGAACAAACCCTTGGTGTGCAAACACCGCGCAAGGGCAATCTGATGTGGCTTGTAGTCTAGGTTTGAGTAAGGAATAAAATGGATTGTCTAACACCTAGGATTTAGTTATGGATTCCCTTTTCTATCATAACTATTTTATTGTGTTTAGATTTTCTTTCCAGAGTCTACTAAAGAAATATGTTAGCTACATAGCCTGATTTCTTAGCTATGATGAATGTTATTAGAAATTTATCTAATTTAGCAGCTCCTGCCGAATTTCTCTCCTATAACTGGTGTACGTGTCAGGCTCATGATAATTTGATATTAGAAGCTCTATGATTCCAATGAGCCGCTTATGAATCACGATGGCCAAAACAAGGAAAAGGCTGTAATAAATGAACAACAAAAATAGCAGCAACTGGATGACAACATGCAAGAGGTGGTCCAAAAGCTGTAGGACTTTATGGCAGAGATGTATGAAATGCAGGGCCAGACTAAAGTGCATATTGACGAATGTTTAGAACAGCTCGTGGAGATGCTGCAGGGAGGACCGTGGCCTGGATAATCGACTATGCCAGTAAGTCATACTCTTCCCCACCAAAGCCAAGAATGGGGTATTCTTTCAACCCTAAAACAACATGAAGTTGGACAGAGTAGCGTACAAAATCCACAGTAACCCACTGGGGGTCCCCATGTTAACCAATGAACCTGGACCAGACACACTCTGAAATATTTTCAGGTGTTTATCATAGCTAAAGAGAACAAAGTAGAAACAGTCACCTTATACTAGGAGATCAGGCCGAAGTTTGGTTTTCACGGGTGGGCAAGCTCTCCTGGACAGGTAGATTGGGAAGATTTGGAGGGTTGGCAGGAATTGATATGGTGGAAGAATTTAATAAACTTGTGCAAGAGGATTCACTACCTAATTACCAGGAAAATTTGAGAAGATGAAGTCATTGATGCTTACTGAAAATCCTAGATTATCCAAGAGATATTTTATTCCTAACTTCATCAGTGGGTTGAGAGAAGAGTTGCAACTCACCTTGAGAATGCATAAACCTCTCACCCTAAACCATGCCTTTGTGCTGCATTTGTGGCAAAAACAATACGTGGAGGTGATAGACCGCCACAGATCAGTTGGCTACCAATCTTATCCTGCATATGCCGAAAAATACATTATTCACCGACCAGTCCCAGAATTTCTCTCTACCCACACCAACTTGTTCATGAAAAGCACCATAAGTTAAATACCACCTAAAAACTCTATAAAGCCGCGACCCACAATCCTCATGAATGCAAGCGCAGCAACTCATACTACCAGGGTGGAGAGAAATACTTTCGGAAGCGTCAATGGAAGATTAAAGCAGTTATGACAGTAGAGGAATGTGGAGGAAGAAGAGGAAGAAAAGAAAGAAAAAGAGAAGAACCAGGAAACTCTTGAGGACACAGGAACTCTTTCTTTGCAACCCACTGAAGACCTATCTACAAAGGGAATCGTGAGGATCAAATGATCACTAGAAAAGAGGCTGTCTTGATACTTCTGGATAGTGGGAGTTCTAACTCCTTTATGGATGCTCCTATAATAGAAGGACTGGAAAACAGAATAGTACATAACAGGTTTCTCGCGGTGTGGTGGCAAATGGTTATAAGGTGACAAGTAAAGAAAAATGCATTGGGGTGCAATAGAAAATGCAGAATTATGTGTTTATTATAACTTTAAAATCATTCAGTTGGGAGGTTATGATATAATATTAGGGGGTGGACTGGATGAGGATGTACAGGCCCATGGTTTTTAATTTTACGGAACCTAAAGTTAGCTTCAAAATAGAAAGGCAGCAAGTGACATTGCATAGGGTAAAGGTGTTAGATAGGTTAGTTAAATTGACGGGTGAAGGGCTGAACAAAATATGAAAAAAGGGAGGCGAACATAGTACAGGAGCAGTTTACTGCCTTCAGTCCATGGAAAGCTCACCCACATACGTGCCTAATAGAAATGCAGCCTTGAAAAGGGACAACCAGATGGACCAAGTATTGTAGACTTCGGCCCATGCCATACCCTTTATGGTCGGGAGGTCTCGAATCAACTTAAGGCCCTAGCGATACCCTCACTTTCAAAAGCAGGAAATTGAACAAGTAAAAAATTGCTAGATGCTTCAATAATCTGCAATAGCCATTCTCTGTTATTACCATTGTTATCAGCAAGTGAAGGATCTAGTCGTGTTAGTGAAGAAAAATGATGGTACTTGGAGGTTTTGCGTTCATTATAGAGAGCTCAACAAAGTCACAGTTAAGGATAAGTACCGAATGCTAATTATTGATGATCTTGATGAGTTCTATGGGGCAAAAATGACTAAAGATCAGGGTATCACCATATCCGCGTGAAGGAGGAGAATGTCTATAAATCAACTTTTAGGACACATCATGGGCACTATGAATTCAGTGTTATGCCCCATTGGCTTAACCAATACACCGACCTCATTTCAGGCATTCATGAATCATATCTTTGAGGTGTATTTGGTGGCATTTGTCCTTATATTTTCTGATGATATTCTAGTGTACAACCCCTCTATGGAATAGCACAAACATTTGGAAAAGATGTTTACATTTCTTAAACAGTGACTTTATGCTAAGATATCTAAACATTACTTTGTCCAAGAGGAGATCAAATACTTGGGACACATTATTTACAAGCAAAGGGTCAGAACTGACCTCATGGGGTAATACCGGAGGTTTATCCAGAACTATAGTGTGATCAGCAAACTCTTAATAGACATGCTTAAGAAGGATGCTTTCATGTGGATTGAAAATTCAAAAAGGGCTTTTGAACAGTTGGAGAAAGCAATGACCAGGGTACTGGTGCTGTCGTTGCGTGATTTTCCAAACAATTTGTATTAGAAGCTTGATACTTGTGGGATGGGAATATGAGTAGCACTTATGTAGGAAAATCAACTGATCAACTACATCAGCAAAACTCAGTTGCAAATGTAATCAAATCCTATCTATATATGAGAAGGAGTTAATGGTCATCTTGTACACAGTAAGTAAATGGAGGCATTATCTTCAAGGAGCCACATTCATTATCAGAACAGATCAAAAGAGTAGCAAACATTTGTTGGAACAACGTTACTTCTATGCTACAGATAAGGGGAATTATCAAAATCTTGGGGTTAAATTATTTCATACAAGATAAGAGGAAAATTAAAAACAAGGTAGCAGATGCCTGATGTTGAAGAGATTGTGAGAATCCATAGAAACTGAGTAGGAGGTTAACTTGTCTACAGTGGCCACCGCGAGTTCACGTCTTTGTTTTCTGAAGTTATGGCAAGCTATCACAGTGATCCTTTCATAAAAGACTTGATGGCAGAATTAATGGTGAAGACAGATCCCAGATCCCATTTTAAACACAAGGCTGGAATATTAAGGTACAAGGGAAAACTGATGATTGGCCCATCAGAGAAATTTAGGCAAAAGTTGATACAGGGCTGTCATGACACAGCTGTAAGAGCCCATTTGGGGATCAAAGGGACTTGTGAGCAGCTAAACAACATTTTTGGCCTGACATGAAGAAGCAGGTCGCTGATCGGGTGTAGAGGTGTAAGATCTACAGAGGTGTAAGACAGAAAAATACCTATACCCAGGTTACTACAAACTCTTCCCCTCCCAAAACAGGCCTAGTCCCATGCATCCATGGTAGTGGTGGATCATTTTAGAAAATACACCCATTTTATAGTCTTGAAACATCCACTCACTGCTCCCAAGATTGCTCAAATATTCCTCGACGATGTTCATAAAATATATGGTACTGTTAAGGTGATAGCTTCATACCGTGATAAGGTCTTTACAAGCTTGTTTTAGAGGGAGATCATGAGACTTTTGGGAGCTACTCTACATGATAGTTCCACATACCACCTACAAACAAATGGGCAAATGAAGAGACTTAATCAACATTTGAAGTCTTATCTTTGCTGCACGACTCAGAAGAACCCCAGAGCTTGGTCCAGATGGATAAGTCTTGCAGAATGATGGTATAGCACTGCCCATCACTCCAGCATTAAGATGTCCCCATTCCAACCATTATATGGGTATCCCTAGCTACCTTGGTTGACACCGTGGAAATTGAAACCCCCTCAACCAAGTTGGAAACTTTTTAGAAGAGAGACAACAGATGAGTGTATTACTTAAGCAACAGTAGACAGAAGATGAGAACTAGATGAAGCAATATGCAGATTTGCACAAAACCGAGAGACAATTTAAGGAAAAAGACTTGGTACTTCTCAAACTACCACCTTATAGAAAACAGTGTCTGGAAAGAAGGAAGAATCATAAATTGTTCCCAAGGTTCTATGGTCCTTATAAAGTGGTGAGGAAGGCAAGTATGGTGGTCTATCGGCTTAAGTTGCCAGAACAAGTAAGGATACGCCCTGTTGAAGAGATGCCTGACACTGAGAATGATGGGAATTTATTGATTGAGCCTAAAGTCATTCTGCATAAGAGAACAGTTAACAAAGGAGGAAGACAGATGGAACAATTTTTAGTATAGTGGAAGGGACTGGAAGACATGATAGCACCTAAAAAGATGCTCATTATCTGAAACAGTAGTTCCCTCATATAAACCTTGGGCATAAGGTTTTTTCTCCAAGGGAAGGAACTGTCATGATTAAGACTCAAGATAAGGAAAATGAGCTTGAGGGTAGAGTAAACAAACCTTTACTCGTGTACAAACATTGTACAAGAGCAATTTGACATGGCTTGTAGTCCAAGTTTGAGTAACAACTAAAATGGATTGTTTGACACATAGAAATTAGTTACGGATTTCCTCTTTTGTAATAACCATTTTGTTGTGTTTAGATTTTCTTTCCAGCGTGTAATAGAGGCATATATTGGGTATGTAACTTGATTTATCAGATATGATGAATGTTATCGGAAATTTATTATCTCCTCTCTCATTCTTTCCATTTACTTCTTATTATCTCTCTTTTGTCTCACTATTCTTCTCATCTATTCCTTCATCTATGCTCACAACCTACACTGTTACTGGTGTACATGTCAAAGATTCCTGACACATACCTGAGAATCAAGTTACAATTTCCTTTATATTCTTTTACTTGAATTTTCGAAACAAACCCCAACGAAATTGTCACAGAAACAACTACAACAGAAAGGGAATTAAATAACTAAATTCTAGTGTTGTCGACCATTTATTTTGTTCATTTTTCTTTCAGACCTGGACCACTTGCCTCGTCATATTACCCTAGCCTGATGCTTGTAGACCAATAAGGGCTTAGGTACTCTGCTCCCGTTATCACCTTCTCCTTTTGCAATTAGGTTGTGACAGATATCATGAGTTTCAAGGGAAAAATGTTGGTGAATTGTAGCTGTGGACATGCTTATTGCCATAACAATTGGAGAGATCATCCAAACAGAGAAGTTTATACCATGTACAAACAACAAAACTCTAGCAGCCAAGCCATGGGGAATACAGAATCATCAAATTCTTAAGTGTTTTTCAAGCAACTAACTAAGCAGCTGAAAGAAGGGGAATATAACTGGAAAAAAAGCTTACTTGGGTCGAAGAAGTGGATGCTCTGCTTGGGTTCAAAGCTTCTATTCGCCTTTTTAATTCCTCAAGTCTAGCATACTGAAAATTACTACTTTCTTGAACCTATTAAGATAGCAATATCAAAGTTCTATTAATTGTAACTTTTGACATCCATCATTAGAGAAGATAAATACCAACTGGTTTAAGTCATCACAGAGCTTCTGCTTCATTTCTTCCTCTTCCTTCACAGCTTTTGATGCTGCTTCCAAAATCTGGAATATACATACATTATAGAAAAGAATTATCTGTCGGAATGAAGGAAAAAGACAACTAATGCATTAGGAATTGTGAAAAATTAAGTATATTTCATGGACATCCTTAGTAATCCAGAACTGCACGATTCTATGAACGGGAACCTCCTAAGATTCGAATGACATATAAAGAGAAAAATTTCAATTCCTGTTCTATTAAAAAAGAAGCCAGTCCAAACCAGAAACACATTAAACCCCATGCAAGTACATGGTGCACATGTGACGACTGACCCTTTCATATTACTTCCATCATTAGCCAAATGAATCTGATTCAGCACCAAATAATTAGAGATGGACTTCATAATGCACAATTACAAGTAGCTGCATAGTAAAAAAGCATAATCTACTTCTGTCTAGTGCAGAGCTGCAGCCAGGAAAAAGAGCCATCTGAGTGGATTGATTTATAAATATTACTTCTCTTAATAGGATATCTACAAATATGATTTGAGAATAAAACAATATATCGGATCAAAGGAAAACGTGAATCTGCAATCAAGAGGGACATACCTGCCGTGCTTGTTCTTCTTTCTGCTTCGCAATACGAACTCTTT